TTGGCGCTATTGAATTCAATTGAACACCACACACACCAACACAGTGAGCTGTTGATGTGATTACTGGCATGTGAGTGAAAAGGTCTAATATAGATTGATGGTTTGGGTGGCCACGTTGACTGGAAACGCGTGGACATTCACCCTGAAACATCTGAGGACTGGACGGCAGAGACGAGGACGCCGACCTTGGCCTCTGTTAGCGTGTTAGCACGAGGTCGTCTGCTCATCCGTGGGTCATGCTGACCTCCACTCTTTGCTGAGAATGCAAACGCAGAGCGTCAGAGTCATGTGTCCTGACGAAGGCTGCGATGAAAACAGACTCTCCCTGTGCTCTGCTCCAGCTCTGATCAGACACTGTTTGCCCAATCAGATGTGACCTGAGACGCCTGAGGTCATGAGGTCAACGCTGATTCCAACAGCAGAACTTTATTTAAACAAACTCTTTCATAAGAATGGTCCTCTGCCTTAGTTTCCCGCCCACGTCAGGGATGAGAGCAGTTCATCCCTCAAGTTTGGGACGCCGCAGGAAGCTTGCCGTGAGCGTGCTCACAGTGCCTTTAATCTGTGATAGGAAGCAGCTTCATCACATGAAGGCATTGTGAGGTGTTCACTGCCCTCACTTCATAAACTTTATTCTGACATTAAAGGTAGCGTGAGGCATTTACAGGCTGCATGTAAGTGAAGGAAAAGTGAGTTTCAGCTGCTTACCGCTCAGTTTGGGGTCGGTCTTCCTGCGGCTTCTGTCTCTGCCTCTCAGCCTGGAGAAGGTCCTCTTCAGCAGGGGCTCAGCCATCGTGCACCTCCCTCTCCTCCTCCTGCTCCTCCTGAGTCGGGAGGTGCTGGGAGGAGAGTGGAGTCAGTAATCCAGCAGGAGAGCAGGAGATAGAGCTCCTTCTCCTCGAACTCCTCGTCTCCTCCTTCGTTCTCAGAGCTGTTCAACAGGAAATAAATTCCTCGCATTCTTTCCCAAACTCCCCCTTCGCCCCTCTCCGCCCCATGCTCCTCCTCCCACTCTCCTCCCTCTGCAGGGACACAGGGAGAGCTGCACTGAGGCATCATGGGAGGTGTAGTTCCGCTCCAAACAAGTGCTCAGTTTCTCTTCAGTTGATGATTTTAAAAGTGATTCTTAACACTCATGTTGACGGGCAGTGAGGGCGACTCCCACGCCATCGGTGACACTCGTCTTCTTCTACTGTCTAATTCAGGGTCATTAACCAGATCCTGGGGAGGACCTGTAAACTCAACACAGAGAAGCCCTGAATGCAAAACCCAGGACTGTGCTGCTCTCTGTCCATCTACCGATCTGTAAGAAATAAAATCTGACGGATCGAACTCACGACTCAGCTCTTACGCCCTCTGCTGGAAGGAAACCGGAACAAAGAGGCTGAAGGTGAAACCAGGTTTAGGTGCAGGAGGAGGGGGAGGAGCTTTGGAGGTCTCTTGGTTTCTTTAGTTTTGTAGAACACAAAGTGGGAGTGAAAGCTGGAGGTCGCCTCAGCTCCCAGTGACCTGAGGTAGTCTCCTCACGCTTGCATTCACAGGTGTAACCAAAGTAAACTCACTTCCTGTGTGAGCCGAACTGCATGTTGTCTGGAGCTGAGCCTGTCAGGCAGCAGGTAACTCACCTGTGCTGGAAGCTGAGTCTGACTTCAGGCGTCTCAGCAGGAGGCGAAATCTGTAAATCCTTTATTTCTGTGTCTCAGTGGAGGTAAAGGAGCGAGGAGTAACATCCACGTGACAGGAAGGAGAGCGCCGAGGTTTGGACACGGAGCTGCAAACAGAGACCAGACAAATGGCAAAGAGCTTCCTCCTCTTCATCAGCACTAAGGTGTTTGGGGGTCTAGGACCTCCAACGCTCTCAGTGAGCTTTCCCATGTGACAGCAGACAGCCAATGAGGTGACATCACTCTGAGCTGTAACCAGGTATTTAACCCACTCAGAGGCAGGGGAGCCTGTGGGCCTCCTTACTCACCTGTCCCTCCTCTGTGTTTGAGGCTGCCTCTATGGCCCTCACTTCACCAGAAAGTCGACACAATGTTTCCTGAATCTTCATCGATCAGCTGACTCATCTGTGTGATGGTGACTATCAACAACCAGCACCAAACTTAAATCTACAATTAAAGATAAAGACCAATCGTAAAACATTATGTGAACATCAGCAGGTATGAAATCACCCATACTGACCAATCAGATCTCAGGAAACTGCGTCACCACTCCCTCAGCTCAGCAGGTCTGAAGTCTTTGTGTTTGATCAGTAACAGAATTTTATTCTTTATCTTACAGAACTCAGTTTTCTGTGAGCATGAAAATCTGATCCTAATGCAGAGCAGCTGTTTATCAGACCCACAGCTCAGAACATCACAGCTGGTCTTTAATCAGTCACTCGATTAGTCTGTCACACACACACAGACACACACACAGACACTCTCACACACAGACACACACACACACACACAGACACACACACACACAGTCATATGTTTCTAATTTAACCACTCTCCTTCCAGGACACCTGTTCGTATGTGTGATTGGTTAGATGCTGACAGCCCCGCCTCTTCCATGTGAACCTGTTTTAACACTTGGCGTTCACTCTTAGTTAGAAATATCCTGTCTCAGAGTGACGCTGAAAAACTAGTTCATGCATTTATTAGTAGTAGTTCTGATTAAGCAGAGATGCACAAATAAAAATATAGGTGTCATGGAGTAGGATCTGTCATCAGAAAGGAGCAAGCACTTTGGCGACAGTGGGAAGGAAAAACTCCCTTTTAACAGGAAGAAACCTCC